TATTCTAAATGTTTATGTTCTTTCACATCATGTACATTATTTTCTTTTTTTTATTTAAATTTTTTTTTCAACGTTTTTTATTTATTTTTGGGACAGAGAAAGACAGAGCACGAACGGGGGAGGGGCAGAGAGAGAGGGAGACACAGAATCGGAAACAGGCTCCAGGCTCTGAGCCATCAGCCCAGAGCCCGACGCGGGGCTCGAACTCACGGACCGCGAGATCGTGACCTGGCTGAAGTCAGACGCTTAACCGACTGCGCCACCCAGGCGCCCCTATTTTCATATCATATAACTTTTTCTTAATGTATGTGAGCTAGCTTTAAAATATTGGACTATAATTTCATGTAATTTGAGGGGACATTCTTGCATGTTTTAATTCTGCCAGGATTTTATTCTGTTGCTGATTTTTACATGAAATTCATTTCCCTGATGTTTTAGAAGGAGGCTTGATTTAGGATAGTTTTCTTTTGTCCCCAGTTTCATGGCTATGGAGTTCCATCTTCTAGCACTTTTTACAATTGTTCAAAATATAGTGAATTTCTTACCGAAATCTCCCCCACCTTGTCTTGCCTCCTCTACTTTTTTTTTTTAATGTTTTTTGAAATTTATTTTTGAGAGAGAAAGAGAGAGAGAGTACAAGTGGGGGAAGGCCAGAGAGAGAGAGAGAGACACAGAATCCATAGAAGGGTCCAGGCTCTGAGCTGTCAGCACAGAGCCTGTCGTGAGGCTCAAACCCATGAACTGCGAGATCATGATCTGAGCTCAACCGACTGAGCCACCCTGGTGTCCTCTGCCTCCTCTACTTCTAGCTGGGCTTTCTGTTTGATCTCTCTTGTCTCTGTCCTGGCCAGTGTGGAGTCTGTGTGCACTGGTGGCTCCTCAGAGTGGCCCTTTGCCCGGGAAGGGAGCTTGGGGTGATTTCAAAAGTTCATAAGGCCCGGGCAGCTCCCAGGCTATACCATGGACTCCTCGTACCCAGTCACTATTCGAAAGGGCAGACCCGTGCCGGGCTCACTTGCTGTTCATAAGTTAGCTTGCTGATGTCCAGGCTATTTTAGAGTCCTCGTATCTGTCAAATGTCCTGCTGGTTCCCCTCCCCATCCTCCCCCATGACGGATTCCACTGTGCTCTTGTCGCTGGCTCTGATCTGTTCTATCCATTCATATCTCAGGGTCCGTGGGGGGCATCATTTTGTTCCGGTTTTGTTGTAGATTGTGTCTGTGGGTCTGAGTTTTGCTCTCTACTTACCCTACTTCTGTTTCCTGCTGTGTTCTTTATGGTGGCGTCTGCGGAGATTCAGAAGCTATGCCGCCGACCACTGCATTTCTCCCAGAATTCCTCTGTAAACTACAGACCACGGGCCAAATCCCGTCTGCTGCTTGTTTGTCTACAGCCTGTAAGCTAAGAGTGGTTGTTATACTTTTAAGGAGTTGAAAAGATCTGAAGAAGAATACTACGTCTTAGCACATGAAAACTATTTGAAATTCAAATGTCAGTGTCCCTGAACGTTTTGTTGGAACCCAGCCATACCTGTTCATTTACATGTTATCTATGGCTGTTGTCGTGCTGTAACAGCAGAGTGAGTTATTGGGACAGAGACTCAAAGCTGAAAATATTTATCATCTGGCCATTGACAGAAAAAGTTTGCCAACCTTGGCCTATTGTATACTTTTTAATGGCTAAATAGTATTCCATCGTGTGACTGTATCATAACGTACCTAACCAAGTCCCTATTACTGGCCATTTAGATGACGTCTAAACGTCATTATCATAGGGATCATTTCACAGCTATGTTAGCACATATGTTTTATTATTTTGAGGGGATAAATTGTTGTGAGTAAGATTGCCGGATCAAAGGAGATTACACTTTTTAAACTCTGTGATTAATATTGACACATTATCATCCGGAAAGGATATACAGGGTAAATCTCTATTACGGTTACTGTTTCGATAAATTATGGTGCATTCAGGCAATGAAATATTATGCACAGGGCAAAGAAAATGAGGTAGATCTGTTTTACTGATATATGAAAATATGTACTATATGTTGTCAAATGAAACATTCTGGTTTCAGATGTAGTGTCTGATTCCTTCGTGTTAAGGAAAGGGGAGTGCTAGAACACATACTCTGAAATCGTTCACAAGAAGCGTAGATGACAAGTCGGTTGTACCAACTTATATACCCTGTCTCAGTGTCTCCGTGGTGTCTCAGTGGTGGTTTTGCCACGCCTTTGCTAGCGTGAATGTATCTAGTTAAAAAAAAAATCTTGACAGCTGACAAATGAGAAAAGGGCATCTTGTTTTAAGATTTTTTTTCTTTTTTTGAGAGAGCGGGTGAGAGCAGGGGAGAGGAGCAGAGAGACGGAGAGAGAATCTTAAGCAGGCTCCACGCTCGAAGCACAAAGCCCCATGCGGGGCTCGATGCCAGGACCCCGGGATCATGACCTGAGCTGAAATCCAGAGTCTGACGCTCAACTGACTCAGGCTCCCCAAAGGGCATCTTGTTTTAATTTTATGTATCAACTTTCATATTTTTTGGTATGTCCATCGGCTTGAAGTAATTCTGTTGTGAAATTCTTGTTCATTGTCCATTTTTTCCCTTCCATATTCATCTTTTGGAAACCTTCTAGTTTGTGAAGCTCTTTGGGTCTATCAGCTATTAATCCTTTGCTTGTCATCTGATTGCCTTTGTATGGAATTTAGGGTGATTAACGATGTACGGAAGGTTTTTTCTTTTTTTGTGCATGCAGATCTTTATTTTCTATGTGTAGGAAGCCTCTTTGTATCTCGGACTTATGTAGTTGTTGCCCAGTGTATTTTTCTAGAACTTACTTGATTTTGTTTTTTACATTTAGGTCTTTAATCCACAGGGAATGTACGCACGTGGGCCGTCAAGTGGGGCTTAACTTTATTTTTCAAATGCTTAGCCAGTTGTCTTAGTGCCATTTATTGAATAAGCCATTATTTCAAGGTCATGGAATTTTTTCAGATTGTTTTTTTTTTTTTTTATTTGAAGTCTCTGCATTTCATGTTTTCAAAACTCCCGGTTTGTTGATTCGATTCACGCCAAATAAAATTTACTCTTTGAGCATACGGTTAGAGGAGTTTTAGCAAGTGTATGCACTTTTGTAGCCACTGCTCCAGTCAAGATACAGAACACCTTCATTGTCCTCTGCAAAGTTCCCTCATGCCCCTTAGTAGTCAACCCCCTCGCTCCTGACCCTCTACCCTTGCAACCACTGATCTGCTTTCTGTCCCTAAATTTTTACCTTTTCCAGAATGTCCTCCAAATGGAATCATCAAATACATACATTTTCGAGTCTGGCTTGTTTCACTAGGCATAATGCATCTAAGAGACATCCATGTGGTTGCACGTATCAGTAGTTTATTTCCTTTTGTTGCCGAGCGACATTCCATTATAGCGCTGTACCACGGTTGATTTAGCCACTCACTTGTTCAAGGGCGTTGGGCTCGTTTCCAGTTTGGGGCTTTTATGAACAAAGGCTACTTTAAACATTCATGTAGAGGTCTGCGTGTAGATCGATGTTCCCATTTCTCTTGGGTGGATACCTGGGAGTGGGATTTCTGGGTCATGTGGTAAGTGTATGCTTCGTTTTCTTTTTTTTTTTAATTTTTTTTTTCTTCAACATTTATTTATTTTTGGGACAGAGAGAGACAGAGCATGAACGGGGGAGGGGCAGAGAGAGAGGGAGACACAGAATCGGAAACAGGCTCCAGGCTCTGAGCCATCAGCCCAGAGCCTGACGCGGGGCTCGAACTCACGGACCGCGAGATCGTGACCTGGCTGAAGTCGGACGCTTAATCGACTGCGCCATCCAGGCGCCCCAATGTCTGCTTCGTTTTCTAAGACGCCATCAGACTGTCTTCCATAGTGGCTGTACTCTTTGACATTGCCACCAACAATAGATGAGGGATCTAGTTACTCCGTGTCTGTGGCAGCACTTGGAATTGTCAGTATTTTTTATTTTAGCCCTTCTATTAGGGGTGTGAGGGTTAAATAATTTAGAAGAAGTTGGAAATTTTAAGCATCGTTTCTCAACTCTTCCCTCCATATGCTTTCTGTGAAGAGCTAGATAGTCAATATGTTTGACTTACCGAGCCCTTCGGTCTTCGTCACGGCAACTCACCTCCGCCGCAGTAGCATGAAAGCGGCCACGGACGGTACAGAAGCCAATAGGCGTGGCTGCGTTCCAATAAAACTTTATTTACAAAAACAGCCTGCTGGATTCTGCTCTTACGCCATAGTTTGCATAGACACCAGGTTTCGTCTAGTGACTTTATTTTCCAGATGAGGGGACTGAGCTCAGGTTCCATCCTTTCCCTTGAGTTGTAAGTAAAGAAGGCAAAGGCCAGGATCTTGGCTTTTACCATAAGAGACACACTTAACATTGACCTCAAGATGAGCTCACCTTACGCATAATTCCTGGTTCTAGCAAATGCTGTCACATGAAACTGTTAATATAGGGTCTTTACAAAGTTGTAACTGCGGTAAGACTTTTTTGGGGACATTTTATATACCGCCATTGGCCTAGATGCTGGTTGACATCTGGAGCCTATTCTATCTCTGGAACAGAGGTCACATTTGGGTAGTAAGAAAATAAAGGAAGTGACAGTTAAAGTAAGAAAAAGCACTGCCACCCTATTAGTCTTCTTCAAAAGACTCGGTTTCCAGTTTTGAAGATGCCCAAAGGTATCTCCTGAGATAGCTCTTTTTTTTTTTCCCTCTGAGATAGCTCTTAAACGCTGCGGCACGATCCCACGCTCTCCCCCCACCTCGCATGTTAATTCCTGATTGTTTCGTTTCATTGTTCAAATAGATGAAGATTCTTAGGTCAAAAAAAAAAAATCAAAACCGTAACAGGAAGGCATACACTCATGGTTCCATGCACGCAAACCTAAAATTAAGCCCTGGCTGGGAGTCCTCAGGGAGAGAACATTGTTTAGAAGAGTCATCGTGTGTGTGTTTTCTTCCCTTCCAGCACTGGAAGAAGTACGACATCTATGAGAAGCAAACCAAAGAAGAAACTGACTCTGTTGTGCTGATAGAAAACCTGAAGAGAGCCTCTCAGTGAAGGGGCTAATTTATTTTACCCTTCGACGTGACGATTCATCCCACTCTCCATTTGTTATCTGGGAACGTGTTAAAAGGAAAGCGAAACTACTGGGCCATTTAAAAACAGGCAGCTCGTAAGAGCCACGGTCTTCATGTCAAGTCGTGCACTGAGAAACTAAACACAAGGGGCTCTTTGGCGAAGAGAGCGGAGTCATTGTCGTTGAATTAGAAAAGCAGACCTCCCTCGCGAAGGCTTCAAAGTAGGGGGCAAAGCAAACAGCGGTGATGGCGGTAGAGTTCATCTTATCCAGGGTTGTGACGACTTCTGAGGGTTCTGTGCCTGCTTTGTACGCTTCGTGTCCAACCACACCGATGCATTTTATGTGGGGGCGGGGGGAGGAAACTCATTCTGGATGCAGGCGCTAATGCCAGACTTGAGTCACGGCGAGCATCTACCAAACGAACTTGATGGAGTCTATCACAAACGAAATTGATGAAACCTATTATCCGTTGTTCGGGATCTCACGGCGTGTTCGTGGCTCTGTAAACCCTTAGCAGTCCGGACTCGTCAGCCCCCTGAGCAGCAGCTTGCCCCGCTTTGGAAGGCCCGGGCGTCAATGTTGGCCATGAGCGTGGCCACTACAGCAAGAGCCTTTCAGAGCTGTGGCAGGCTTTTAAGGGCAGTGGAGGTCGAATGCCTTATTGGGCGTTGGGATCTGCCCCATGCCATCTCTCATGGTGTCTTGTTTCTTCTTCACCTCTGCTACTCCAGTCAAATACTCCGCCTGTGTCCAGATTGTGCTAGGCCCCCAGGTGGGAGGCACCACTCACAGGGTTGATGGTCCAGTTGAGACGCCTCTCTTCTGACCCCTCTATCTCCACCAGTCATTTTCCAGAGCTTTCTGCTCCCCGGTTCCCGTACCCGTTTCCCCTGCCCCATCGGCCCCCCCCCGCCCCCGTTCCCGCCGTTGTGTCCTTCTGTCCCCTTTCGCTAGAAATTAGAATATAAAGCTGCTCAGCACATCTAGAAGAGCAGGGAGGACTCTGCACCTCAGGTAAAGTGTGAGGCGACTAAGAAGCAATGACTGATTCTTGCATGTTTTGTATGGAACTTCTTGCATGAGTCTGCGTTCGTTCGAAGGTTTTCAGCGCTTACTATTTCTCTATGCATTTTTCTAAGCAGAAAGGAGGTATTCTCCTCACTTAGAACTTCGCTGTTCGTAGGGGCGCCTGGGTGGCTGGGTCGGTCGAGCGTCCGCCTTCGGCTCAGGTCGTGATCTCACAGCTGGGGAGTTCAAGCCTCGCGTCGGGCTCTGCGCTGACGGCTCGGACCCTGGAGCCTGCTTCGCGTTCTGCGTCTCCCTCTCTCTCTGCCCCTAACCCACTCGCATTCTGTCTCTGTCTCTCTCAAAAATAAAGAAACATTAAAAAAAGAAAGGGAAAAAAAAAAAGAACTTCGCCGTTCGCTTCAGAAGAGGAGAGTCCCGTCTTCCCCTTCCCCCCGTGCTGCCCCAAGTGGTTACGAGTAGGTTTTGCATCTTATATCGATAGCTTCTGAAGCTCTAACATTTGTATCCATTTTTGTTTGGGTTTTTTTTGGCCTACCAAGTGAGGGCTCCACCGGCACCCAGCCCTACAACACATGCACAGAGACGTTCCCCTCTGCTCCTCCTCCTTCCTCCAGGTTTAACGAAGCGTGGAAGTGAGGGGTCCCCCTCGCCCCCCCCCCCCCCGCCCCCCAGTGTTTCTCACCTCAGGCACACGGACCCAGATTCCTGGTAGGAACTTGAAAGCCCGACGACCACAAGTTCTGCAGACATCCACCTGTTGGATGCGGCCCAGGCGTCGTGACCGGTGCCGCTCCGGTGGGAGATGCCCGCTCGCCGCAGGTTTGGGCGAGAGTGGCAGCCTGCCGGCCCTGGGGTGGAGGAGGGATGTGCCCGGCCTTTCTGAGGAAATCCCTCGCCAAGGGTAGATGTCAACGGGTTTCCTCCCTGGGCTGCTTTTTTTTTTTTTTTTTTTTTTTGGAGGTCACATTGGGGTGGGCGTAGATGTCCCCACTTCATTCTCAGGTTCTCTGGCAAGGACACTTGGTTTCCCCGTGTAGGAGCGAGATTATTTCCTCGTCAAGTCTTTTGCAGTTTCTAGAAAGCAACACACCCACTAAACGCCTCCCCGAAAGCCATTTTTTCCCCCTGGTTTTCCATGTAGATAGCAGCCAGGGGGATGCCTTGGTATTACGAGTCACCGAGGGGCTGCCGGTGTTGACGGTCACAGCCTGGAAGCGGGGAAGCTGTATCCGGTGCCATTCTCCTCTTTTAGCCGTAAGATAGTCGAGGGAAAAGGGGGCAGCGAGTTCCGGGACTAGCTAGGGCCGTTCTATAATTACGGAAAAGCGACCCCCGGGTCTGGGAGCGCGTGGGAAACTTTAATACGTCAGTGGGATTTCCATCACCTGTAGGAAACTGGTAGGTTCGTTTGCTGTTTTATGCCTCGACTCTATGGATTGTTTTTCTCCACAGACCTAAGTAAACCCACTGTAAGGATGGTCATTCTTATTCTTTCATTAAGTTGTTCCTTTATCTGGGCACTGAAGGGATACGTGAAACAACGTGAAGAATATTTTTTGGTAATGCCTTCAAACTCGGGATCATCTTGTTTAACTTCTTAATAGGAAAGCTTGAGTGAAATAAATATTGTCTTTTTGTATGTCACCCACGTGTTTTCCTGTGGTCTCATTTTGGGGTAACGTGTCGTAAGGAGCGCGTGGTGGAAAAATCAGAGTTAAAAGAATAGATGTTGTGGGAAAAAAAAAAAAGGAAGACAGTGATTTTTGTCTTACAGCCATTTCTCGCAAGCTTCCCTGCTGTTCTCGGGATGCCTGTGTTTTCTTTCTTTTTCTTTTTTTAATGTTTATTTATTTTTGAGAGCGAGGCAGAGCGTGAGGCAGGGGAGGGGCAGAGAGAGAGGGAGACACAGAATCCACAGCAGGCTCCAGGTCCCAAGCTGTCAGCACAGAGCTCGACGCGGGGCTCGAACTCACCAGCCGTGAGATCATGACCTGAGCCGAAGTCGGACGCTCAACGGACTGAGCCACCCAGGCGCCCTACCCCCCAACCTTTTTTTAAGGAACACCTGTGTTTTCTGATAAGAGCATGCACTCAGTTTACTACGAGCACATCCTGTGCAAGCGGAACCTAAAGGGACAGAAGTATTTGATAAATCGTAGTTCTGATAATTAAGGGAAATGCACCCTTTGGGCTGCTGCGAAGCGGAGGTAGGAGGCCCGGGAGGGGGAGTGGCTCCCCACGTGACAAGAGTGTGGCAGCTGGTGCCACAGGCGCCGGGGAGGCGGCATCACGGGGCTGGCAGCTGAAGAGGGGCTCCACCAGCCGTCGTCCAACCCCAGGATGGAAAAATAGGTCATTGCCAAGAACAAGAAGGGGGCCTGCTCTACCGGCTGTCGCAGGTCTCCATCCTGACGTACACAACCCGGTGGTTCGTGGTGAAGCAGGGCTACCGTGACACCAACACCTCACCGCAGAGCGGCGCGTCACCGGAGTCAAGGGCGTGACCTTCACCAACACCTCAGAACCCCGGGAGCCACTCTGGAATGCTGCCCATTATGTCATCCCACCCCGGAGAGAGAATGTCTGTTGTCCCCATCCTAATTGTGACCCCCCAAGCAGTGGCAGAAAACCTGTAGGAAAAGAAAAAATCTAAATGCACGCGCGCGCGCACACACACACACACACACACACACACGAAGGAGACTCTGATGGTATAAATTATATATATAATTTCTAGTTAGAAATTAGCCACATTAGCAGGTCAGATTCGAGAGCAAGAAAATCAGTTTTCAATAGCTGTCCTCTTAAGAAATGGTAACGTAGTCTCAAATTTTCTAGAACGACAGCAAGATGGTTTGAACGTCGTGGAGGGTTTTTTCTCTCATGTGTCGTTCAAAAGAAAACCACAGGCCCAAAATGGTGTCACTTAGATTATGGCCCCAAGTCAGTAAAACAAGATCTAATCCCTAACCTAACTGCAGTTGCAGCCTCCAAGAATGTGTAGCCTGTAACCAGTCAACGTAGAGTTTTCTGGTCAGCACTAGGAATTTTCCTGATAGACCCCTTCCGTTCCCCTTAGCATGGACACCTTGCCTAAAACCACGGATTTCCTTGCTATTAATTTCCTTTTTTTTCCACTCCCTCTCTACCTTTAAAAGCCTTTCCTTTTCAATAGCCCTTTGGAACTCCTCTCTACGCTCAGTTCATGATTCGAATAATAAAGCCAGTTAGAGCTTTAAAGTGGACTTGGTAGAATTTCTGTTATTTAACACTGTTAAGCTCTAAGAGTGAGTCTTTGGGCAGACCGCATTTATTAATTACCCTGAATCTTTACAAAACCCCAAGCCGAGGGGGTTGTGGGTAGGGGCTGCTGATGTTGGTGAGGTTATTTCTGTAACTGTCTAGAATGATCCAAGAAGATTCTGGAAATCTATCTCCAGGTACGCTTTGTTTTGTTTTAAACAAGAAAGCTTTGCTGCTTCCTACAGCAGCGTACTGAATATTCTGACAGGAAACATTTGAGTGCAGACGCTTGGGGTTTTATATCTATATGAGATCTATGGACAACAAATTTTTGCAGCCATAAACATGTTCACCTTGTCTCAGGAGGAGAGGAGCCGGAATGATCGAAGCACATTTGATTTCCAGAGTAATTTTCCGTCGGGTACTCCTCTTTTACAAGCATGACTCTGTGCTCACATGAGTAACACATTATGCTCTTAGAGTATTAGTCGTTTTAGAAGAAAACAAGGAAACTAGAACACTTATCTCAGAGACTCTTCTTTGAAACCCGGATGATTAGATCAAGCAATAAAGTTCTTCATAAATACTTCAGCTCAATCTTGGCATGCTTTTGCTTTAAGGAAGGGAGTTGTGTTGACATTTGGACGTGCTCCACCATTTTCGACATGAATCCCCAGATGAGTTCTTCCTGAAGATTCTCTGGCCTCTAACACTCTTTCCTAATGGTCATACTATTTACTATTAGCAACAGAAAAATATTTCTCTGCTAGTTTTCAACAGTTATCAGGTATAAAAAATTACATAAAAAGAAAATGGCTACTGAGCGGCTAAACGCGCGCCAAGTTACGTGTTTTATTTCACTAAATTCCCATGTGAGTCCCATGAGGGAGGTGGCCATTATTATCTTCATTCTATAGATGAGGAGCCAGACATAAAATGAGCTGTGTAGATGCAAGGTCACACAGCTAGTAAGTGACGGAGACACTTAACCAAGTCGGCCCAAGGTTAGAGCCTGTATAAGACGGCCAGTGATATATTTATTTGCCCTGAGAAGGCAGCTGCCTAAATAAGAAACACTCGGGGGCGCCTGGGTGGCTCAGCCAGTCGAGCGTCCGACTCTTGATTTGGGCTCAGGTCATGGGTCTTGAGCCCTGCATGGGGCTCCAAACTGGCAGTGCGGAGCCTGCTTGGGATTCTCTCTCTCTCTCCCTCTCTCTCTGCCCCTCCCCTGCTCACGCGCTCTCTCTCAAAAATAAATAAACTTGAAAAAAAATAAGGAAGAAACATTTTATTGCAAACTGGCCAAGTTGGCCTGGCAAACGGAAGCCGTTGGAGAATTTAAATCATTCACGTGAGCTTTTCACAGCATCTTAAGATTCATCTGCCCATTGATTCACCTAGGTGCTAGGCAACGGACGAGGCGCTAGGAACTTAGAAGTGAGTAAGTTTTGGCTGAGCTTCAGGTGGTTAGTCGGGGGGAGGCTGCTTTGCTCAGAGCAACGTGACTTGCGGAGTGAGGGTCTTTGCTGCGGACGCTAGCAATGCCGTGGGCAGGGCCCCTTCGTCTCCCCGGGCATCCGTGTTCTCATCTGTAAAATGGGCAGGTCGGACTAGGTTAGCTCTACTGTGACAGCCGACACAAACTAAGATAATGGCTGGTTTTACATACCAAGGGACTACATTTACAGTCACCTACCGTTGCTACAGGAAGTAGCTAGCCACGAGCAGCAGCTGCCAGTAGTAACCAGAGCGGGTCCTTTAACACGACGGTAAGAACGCAGGAGGTGGGCCACCGGATGAGCCCGGTGGCCCGTCCAAAGCAGAATTTTCACAAGGGCCCCCGCCACGACTGCGCCCAACAAATACTCCTTAACACGTGTTGCAGATCTTACGTCATTTTGCCTAGAAACACAAAAATGGATTTTGTGTAATACCGATCACGTGCCTAGTGACTACGTTTGATACGCGACCTAACATAGGGTCCCTTGGAACTCGATACTCACATATTTGGCTACGGAATTAAACTTTTGGGGTTTCATTCGGTCAAAATGCAGCACGTACTTAAGTGAAAAAGTCAAAGAATACCACGGGGCTTATAAAAAAACAAACAAGCAGGCCCCTGTCCTACCACTCCTGACCCCTGATTCCTGCTCCCAGAAAAGACACCCTCCCCCTTATCCCTGGAGCCCGTGAAAATGTTCTGTTACGTGGCAAAAGGGACTTTGCAAATGTGATCAAGATTAGAGATCTTCGGGGCTCCCCAGTGGCTCAGGCGGCTGAGGGTCTGACTTCAACTCAGGTCATGACCTCACAGTTCTTGGGTTCGAGCCCCGCGTCGGGCTCCGCGCTGACAGCTCAGAGCCTGGAGCCTGCATTGGATTCTATGTCTCCCTCTCTCTCTGCCTCTCTCCTGCTCTCTCTCTCTCTCTCTCTCAAAAATAAATAGACATTAAAAAAAATAGGATTATAGATCCTCGAATGGGAAGATTATCCTGTATAATCTGGGTGGGCCCAACCTAATCACTTGAGCCCTTAAACGCAGAGACATTTCTCTGGCTGGAAGCAGAAAAGGAGGACAGATTCAAAGCACAGAAAGAACTCACTCAAAGTGCTGCTGCTGGCTCGAAGACAGTAGAGGCCCTTTGGAAGTGTTAGAAGGAATTAGATCCTGCCAGCAAGGCGAAGGGGCCTGGAAGCAGAATCTCCCCCAGCGCCTCCAGATAGGAGCCCAGGCTGGCCAACTACATGACTTCAGCCTTACGAGACCCGGAGCAGAAAATTCAGAGAGATCATACGTTTGTGTTGTCTTCAGCTGCTTCTACTAGTTTTGGTGGGTTCTTTGGGTATATGACTCTTCTGAATAACGCCCTAATACTTCGGGATATTTCTTGTTTTTATTTAGGTGTAGAAATTACCGATTTCGGAATCTCTGCGACGGAATATAGGGAACTAGCTTTCTTCTGTGTCCCCCCCCCCCCAAATACGTACTCACACCTCTCTCCCATACATATAAACAATTTTGGTTCAAATAGTCAATATTTGCATCATAGCGTATAATGGTGCACACTTGATCCATGTGGAGTACCGTTAAATTGTATTTTCTTTCTTTTCTTTTTCCCCAATTGTCTCTTTTTTGGCTTGATCTGTTTTTCTATGCACCTGTCGTGAGATCAGCCCCAAGCAGACTTGCTGATAGAACCACAAAACTCCGTTGAGCATGGTCACATATAATAAGTAATCGATGAGGGGCGCCTTGGGGGCTCAGTCAAGTGTCAGGCTGTTGATTTCGGCTCAGGTCACAGTCTCACAGTTCGTGGGTTCGAGTCCCTCTTGGACCCTGCACTGATAGTGAGCAGCCTGCTTGGGATTCTCTCTCTCTCTCTCTCTCTCTGTCTCCCTCTCTCCCGCCCTCTCCCTCTAGGCCTCCCTCATGCTCTCTCTCTCAAAATGAATAAATAAACTTAAGAAAAATAAGTAACTGATGAGTTCCATTTCTTTCTTCATGGAGGCAGTCCTCATGGAGTTTGCTGCCCTCCTGATCCATTCTGGAATGTCTGCCCTCCCGGCCTGCCACCCAGCCGTCCTCCTTTCCTTCTCTTCTTTGCTAGACTCTGTTTCCTACATTTCATTTTGCCCTCTTTCTTGCGTTATGCCTGGGTTTTGCTGGACTACACCCTGCGCTAACTTCCTCAGAAAGGTTGCACGGGAGGTAATTTTCATAAAACCCTTCCGTGTCTGAATACATGTTCGCATATGATTAAAATTTGCCCTAGGTGACGAATTTCTAATTAGAAACAATTTCCTTTCAGGGGCGCCTGGGTGGCTCAGTCGGTTAAGCGGCCGACTTCGGCCCAGGTCACGATCTCGCGGTCCGTGCGTTCGAGCCCTGCGTCGGGCTCTGTGCTGACAGCTCGGAGCCTGGAGCCTGCTTCGGATTCGGTGTCTCCCTCCCTCCCTATCTCTCTCTCTCTCTCTCTCTGCACCCCCCTCTCAAAAATAAACATTAAAACATAATAGAAGCCATTTCCTTTCAGAACGTTGAAAACCCATATTCCACTATGTTCTCTTGCTTCTCTCCAGTGCTGCTTTTGAAAGGTCTGATTCCCCGATCGATTTCCAATTTTCTGTGCGTACCTCTTCTTTCTCCGCAAGCTTTAAGCGTTTTCTTTCGGTCTCTAGTGCTTTAAAATGTAACAGTGCTAAGCCTTCTTCCACATATCCTGCCATTCCCTGAGCTGGGCTTTGGCGAGCCCTTTGAGTCTCACAACTTGTCCTTCATGTTGGACACATCACCTTGTGTGATTTCTCACGTAATAATCTCCCTTTCTATTTTCTTGATTCCTAGAACTCCTGTGAGCGGGATAGTGGATGTCCTGGATGAATTCTTTAAGTTTCATGTCTTTCTCTCACGTTCCACTCAATCATCGTTTGGTTCCACTTTTGGGGAAGTTTCCTTAACTCGGGCTACCTGAGCCTCAGCTCTGATCTGTAAAAGGGTGTTAAGAGAACCTACCTCAAACGGTATTGTGAAGTGTGGATGGAATAAATCATAGAAAGCGAACTTTAATAAACGGTGGCTTTTTATAAAGCACATGCGGCTGTTCTCGCACCACTTCCTTCTCCTTTTTTTTTTTTTTTTTTTTTGAGAGATTTATTTTTAAGTAATCTCTACACCCCACGCGGGGCTTGAACTCACGACCATGGGATCAAGAGTTGCGCGCTCCGCCGACTGAGCCGGCCAGGCGCCCCTCCTTCCCCCCCCCCCCCCCGTGTGAAAATGATCATTCTGGCGGCCGCAAAGCATCTGGCGTTTACAACATCATGTTACACTGTTTACCCTCATTGTACAGAATTGTGGTAGCTGCGTGACGTTTTCCAATCGCCCTGCTTTTAGAAAAAGAGTTCTACATTTGAATCTTAGAATGTTAGACTTAGAATCTGAACTCTTTTTGTGTTTCTTTTTTTAAACATTTTTTTCAAACGTTTATTTATTTTTGGGACAGAGAGAGACAGAGCATGAACGGGGGAGGGGCAGAGAGAGAGGGAGACACAGAATCGGAAACAGGCTCCAGGCTCCGAGCCATCAGCTCAGAGCCCGACGCGGGGCTCGAACCCACGGACCGTGAGATCGTGACCTGGCTGAAGTCGGACGCTTAACCGACTGCGCCACCCAGGCGCCCCTCTTTTTGTGTTTCTAAAAACACTTAAAATCAAAAGTGGTTCCTCCCTGTCTATCTACCTAATATCTATCATCCATCGATCATCTGCCTATCCATCCATCCTACCCTCCCTTCTTTTATTTCTCCCTCCCTCCCTTCCTTCCTTCCCCTCCCTCCTTTCCTTCCTTCCCGTGGGGTAGATGGAAACTGGAAAAATGATGCTGGATAGCTGCTCCTTGGCAGTGAAATGGGTTGGCTTGGAGCCCAAACAAACCATTTTCTCCCGATGCGAGTGCCGTGTAAACAATGTATGAGGATTAAGGTGAGGTGGGGGCGCTGAGGAGGCTTACGGGCAATTGACAAACCTCAGCCCCGAGGGGAGGCCTGGCTTAACTGTGAGCTTTACACCCGAGAGCTGCGTAGTCTGTAAACAGGGGCCCCGTGGAGACTAGACCTAGAATTATAGAGGAAGAAGGTACATGAGCCAGGAGCAATCTAGGTTCGCTCTATTTAGTTGATCGTTTTCTTTCAACCAGGAGTGACATGCAAACTCTATGACATAGGGGCCCCCCGGGTGGCTCAGTCGGTTAAGCGTCTGACTCTTGATTTCGGCTCAGGTCATGATCTCACGGTTTGGGAGTTCGAGCCCCGCAATGGGCTCTGGGCTGACAGCGTGAAGTCTGCTTGGGATTCTCTCCCTCTCTCCCTCTCTGCCCCTCCCTTGCTCTCTCTCTCTCTCTCTCTTTCTCAAAAAATAAATAAACTTAAAAAAAAAACCTATATGACATGGGCACCAACCAGTCAGATCTCATGCCAGCCTGTGCTGTGCAATGCTGGACCAGTCACTTCCCTTTTCTTTGTCTCCGTTTGTCACCTGTGAGAAAAGGAGTAAGCGATCCACACGGGCCCTTCAGGTGTAATATTAACAATCAATACAATGGCAATTTGGGGTTGTTTACTTTTAAAATTTTTTTCATGTTTATTTATTTTTGAGAGAGAGCGTGTGTGTGTGTGTGAGTGTCGGGGGTGGGGGGGGCGGGCACAGGGAGAGAGGGAGACCCAGAATCCAAAGCAGGCTCCGGGCTCCGAGCTGTCCGCACAGAGCCCGGCGCGGGGCTCCAGCCCACGGACCGGAAGATCGTGAGCTGAGCTGCAGTCGGCCGCTCAACCGACTGAGCCCCCCCGGGCGCCCCTTGGGGTTGTTTTTAGAAAAGAATGGAAGCAGATGTAGAAAACTAGCAGCTAGTGTCCTATGAGTTAGTGTTTGACTCGAGAACTGGACTAAGAAGGAACACCGAATGTCTTATGTCCACGACATCTCCAAATGCACTAGAAGGGAGACCAGGATAGCCCTACCCAAGACGTGAGTTCGCTTTTTTGCTTTACACCTTTGATGTTGCGGCTGCGTCCCACACTAGCCCCCACCTGCATGCGTAGACAAGATACCTTTCCCCTTCCAAGTCTACTTTTTTTTTTTTTAACGTTTGTTTATTTATTCATTTATTTTGAGAGAGTAAGAGACAGAGAGAGAGAGAGCAGAGGAGGGGCAGAGAGAGAGAGGGAAACAGAGAATTCCAAGAGCCTGATGTGGGGCTCAAACTTACAAACTGGGAGATCACGACCTGCTTAACTGACTGAGCCGCTCAGGTGCCCCTACTACTTTCTTGTAGCCTTCTGTCTCCAGCAGCTACCAGCTGCAGGGCTCTCTCACTGGCGGGCAGTGGCTTGTCCAGTCTGGCAAGAGTCCATGTTCCAGACCTTTCCTAACTTCCTCTCTTTTCAGACTCGCCCTGCCTCATTTCCTCTTCCTTCTGACCTCTGCCTCCTTATAAGACATTTAACCATTTCATCCGTGCTCTTGTGATCAAGAAAGGCCAACATGACCTCAGGTTGTGAGTTCAAGCCCCATGTGACATGTAGAGATTACAGAAAAATAAAATCTTAAAAAAAAACAAAACACTACAACATGGAAAATACACATTATCAAAGCTTATTTAAGGTTGTTGGTTTAATTAAAATGGACATGTCTTTAGAGTTATCAGGATTACGGGGCACCTGGGTGGCTCGGTCGGTTAAGCATCCGACTTC